GCCAAAAGCATTATGCTCCATATGGAGGTCGTTCAGTTGAGATCAAATGCAATATCTATTTTCCCTGTAATATCTGACATATCCTTTATCTGGGGAAGGAGGAGATGATCTAATTCTCTTTCCCATATATAACTGAGATTGTGCATACAAGTCACATATAGCATCATTCAGATACATAGACGAAAAATATTTTGAGCAGAAACTTAAGAGGAGAGATATGGATTCTTTGACCACTATAATTTGTTTTTTCCTTTTAATTTGTAGTCTGATCTTGTCCCAAATGCTAAAATTTGTTGACTAAGACCATGTTTTAGTTCATAAATCATGGATCAACTAACTTGCTTTGAGACATTGTTTTGTTAGGAAGGTTTTGAAGCTTAAGTCTGCCCCATGGGAATGTGTGACACAGTGAGAAATCTTTTGAGAATATTTTCTTTTTGATAAGCAAACATAAGGCACAAATAATATTCCTTCTTGCCGTTTTATTTTTCTGTCTCTGAAGTGAAGGCTTCTGTGTGCATGCATTTGGCATTAGATGGTCAGGTGATAAAAGCTTTGGAATAAAACTTTAGAATAGAAGACGTACAATGATCACCTAGTCCAACTGCCTGAATTTTTGTTCTTTTAAGATCATTGGTTTTACTGTTGATTTTGTAATAGAAATACCCATCAGATAACGGGCCTCAGAGTCTTTGGGTACTTTGGCTATTCCTGCCTCACTGATCTTCTAGCCCAAATGAGTCCAGATGTAAGAGAATATAATAAACATACGGGAGCAATAGATGAGAGGGCAGATAGTCCTGTAGGTTATACTAGCAATACCCACAGCATCCAGAATGAAGTTGCACATACATATGCAGTGCCTTTAAACTGAATGTAATTAGTTCTTTCAAATGGTTTGGGCGCCATTTCATATTTTGACGTGACAGCCAGCCTCTGCACAGAACTTTTGTTGGTATGAGTTTAGAGAAGAGTCCTGCAGGGATGGGCCCTGCAAGGTCCTGCCTTCTGCTGAAATGTTGAACAATAAAGATGGTCGGTGTGAGGGAAGTGCTTCCCTGTATGAATTTCCCTGAGTGCTTGTAAGAGTATGCCATTTTTATATCATGAAAGAGCCCCACTCACAAACCAGCATCCCCTTTGGCTGGGTACTGTACAAACATTGCCCAGGAAGATGACAACATATCCCAAGGAACTTAACTGTTTACTTTCTGGATCCCAACAGGTGAAACTGATTGACTACATCCACAGACAACGGCAGTGTAAGCTGAGTGTGCCCCTGAATGACAGGACAGCAGAGCTCAACAGCTACCCAAGATTCAATGACTGGTTAGACATTGTCAATGTGAGGAAAGAAGTTGTACAGGTAAGGGGAAGACAACCCTCAGCACAGAACCTTCCCGCCCTTTCAAGACATCCCCAGCTGCCTGCTGGGTTAAGTTAGTTTCCTGAACTTAATTTCAGGCAAGGTGGGAGTATGTGGGTACACAGGGGGACCTTTGGTGGAAAGTGTGCTTCCTCTCTCCCAGAAGCAGTGATCACCCAATGGGAGTGCTGAAATACTCCCTTCCCTTTGACCTCCTCCCTTCTCATAATAGCATTTGAAGCAACGCCTCACACCTATTGCTCAGTATGAGACAAAGGTCCTGCATTACCAGGACCTCCTCTCCTTCTGCCTACTAGGGCTGAGAATGACGCCATAACTTAATCACTTACTAACTTTTAGATAATAATAATACTGTACGATGCTATATTCTGTGTCCAGTACTAGCCAAAAAAGGACCAAGAGTTACAATTTTGTGCACTGACATATCCAACAAATGGACAAAAATGTTGAGTTGTGACAGCCTAGAGTTTTCTTATTTCTAAAAGCATACATGCCACAATTATAAATTAGCAAAGATCCAAAAATAGCCAATAGCACTGTGTCCCTCTAAACTTAGACTAGCAGAAGGGGTCAGAGTTTACAAGTTTGTGCCAGACTGATGGTTTTGAAACTGTGTAGCCTTACACAGCACTCAGACTACAAAATCAAGTGGACTGCAACCCAGTAATGGGCAGGTGGATTCTGATCTGGATTTTGACTGAGTGGGAGTCTTTGCTCAGAAACAAGAGAGGTTTTTTTATTTTATACACACATACCCCCCATGAGTAAAGTCTCTGGTTCAAACTGATACTAAAGAGCGTTGCATCAGTGTATAAGAATGGAATGAGTAACTCCCCTGTGGTGGTCTGTGTGGTGGCCAGCATCAGCTGTTCATGCTCACAGACCATGGCTCCTTCTGATCTTTACAGTTTAATTCTTAACATGCAAATCACTGGAAGCCTTTTTACTGCACAGAATAATCTGATGTTTCTGCTGGAATCAGAGATGACCAGATAAGCCAAGGCCCCCAGCTCCTGTCTCTGACACTTTTTCTTTTCTTTTCTTTTTTTTTTTTTTTTTTTT